ACGGTACTTTCTTTTTGGGACCGCCTTTCTTGTCCTTCTTCCATTTTTTATCTCCGTGTGCTCCTTCTGTCTTCAAATATTTAGCAACCCTCTTCCCTCTCTCAAATCGAGGACCCCCCACAGGGGGGGTAAGGGAGGTAACACCGAGTAAGGACGATTGGACAAAAGGACTTTCCCGGCCATAAACCGCAATTGGAGGTGCAACCGTCCTTAAACCAGTCGTGAAGGCCTAGAATGTGGAATTTGACCGGGAGAAAAGGGCAAATGAATGCATAAGGACATCTCCGAACCATCACGCTGAAGACACCGCACGCCGGGAGCCAGAAGAAATATGACAACGCCCAAGCCGGCTATAATGCGAGCGGACACAAGGGCGCGAGAACTCATATGTCATGACATCAAATGCCTTCGCCTTCATATGTTCGGGTTCGAGAATGCGTACGTGCGCCATTTGAATCAAAAGCATTCGCTTGGTCCTCCTTAGCGCAGAGTGCAAGTGAGCTTCAAAGGCCTGTCTTCTCGGCACGATCCTCCCGGCCGTGGGAAACACCCAAGCCTCCCACGAGTCAAGGGCTGCACGCACAGTAATCCCCGAACGTGTGTGGTCGCGAAAGAGACCGTCGTCACATGCCCCTGGACGTCGTTTTCGGGGTGACATCCAACGTGTGCAGCGAGAGGACACGAAAGAGAGGGAAAATTGACTTCAGGAGGCTAAGCGAAGACTTGCACAAGCAGCAGGCCTCGTCTCAGGCGTCGGAGATAAACATGGTGACTCAAAGTTGCACTGGAAAATGAAATCCTACACATGAATTGCGTACCCAGTCATGTGGCAAAGTTCTACAAACTTATATAAAAGACACCATGCTTCTCGGATTTGCTGTCACAAACAGGTAATAGCGTGCGATGGAAGACGGACTACGTGTCGTCACAACAAGAAGTTTGAAACCGGTTTGCGGAAAAGTAAGGAGGAAAACGTATTGACGCTTTGACAGCTTTGTAAACGTTGCAATGACACGGAAGGAGATATCAGAGACCTATAGCGTGCATCATTTTAAGGTCCATGATTTCATTGCACTTGACCGACCAGATGGCTGGAAAAAACCCCGGCAGGCAGAAAAATGAGCAGAAGGCCTTGAAGAAGCCATATATTCTTATGCCAAGCTCGTTTTGAGGCTTTATTTGATAATTTTGGATAGAAATGCTCTAGATTAAAGAATATTGTTATCATTCATCACTTGATCGTGACACGCCAATGGACTTTGAAGGAACACTTACATTTTTTTTTCACGGTGAAGCAAATTACGTTGAAGGCTCAGCCGCGTTCCTCATGATATCAAAACGAGCAGCAATACTTAATGAAACAATCCATGAGCAAGTCTGCACCAGACTCCTTGAGGAGCAAAATAATTCAAGACGACGTGGAACAATGATAGGACACACTTTTGGACACAAATGCCAATTTCTACGAACATACCTCATTTAATACGTCAAATTCACATAGATACAGGATTTTCCATAAGAGCTAAAGCCATTCAACTCGTACACAGTGCATGATCTAGTTGATGCTTACTCAGTCTTTGGAATGCTCAATTCGCATTGTAAGCTTTTAGTATCGAAGTTGGCGAGGACATTGGGGACCTCTGCTCGTCCTCGCGAGCACAATTAAGAAGGCTTATGTGGATGAAGGTGGCAGCTCATAAGGTGGGAGTCTCCCAATCGACTTGCGCCTACCTGTTTATTGGCAATGTGAAGGCAACATTCGGAGCCGATATCAATGCACGAGTTTTGAAGAAACCCTCGATAAAGATACTCTTCCTGTTTATTTTTTCTGAATATTTTCTCAGGGAACGTGAAGTGTCAGGTACACTTCTCAGTCTCCTATGGTCGAGGCCAAAACTTATTTGTCGGAGCCGATACGGAAGCTGAGGCTTTCAGGTACGAAGTTTGACTGATTACTTGTACCCAAGACACAAGCCTACTGCATGGCTCTTATGTGCATCAGAATGTGTATTTTTTTAGTAGGGATTGTTTGATTGACCATCTATGACAGTTTCAATCCAAGAAACTGCATGTATCAATCATTTTCGTGCTTCTTGTATGGGTTGTCGTCACTTGCCAGACGTGTGGATGACAATTTGTACTTCTCTTGCACTTGAAAGATAGAAGTGATCACCCCGCACATTGCAAATCCAAACAATCTGGTAAAAAGTTCTTGGCAAATACCTTCTTTTCAAATGCAAGATGCCCGCGATCGAAAATTGTAGGACGTCACCTCTCAACAGTTGTCGGTGATTGTAACGAGTTTGTCTGAGCTTTCAGCGTCTACAGTCGGTAGTTATATCAGCCCTTGACGCAAACCGCCAGTCTGCTGGGGCACCCCATGTACACGTATAGGTACACACTTGGTCCCATGCATTTTGTACTAAGAATGTGATCTTCAGGTGCTGGTCGTACAAAGTCGGCGATAGAGTGAACACTAAGTTCTTGCTCTCTTCATGCTGATCACTCCTTCGGAAAGCGATCGTTTGGGTTACTAAAGCGCTCAAAATTGGAGGACAAATAAGCATTTTCACATGTTAGCAATTCAGTATATTAAGAAATCACTCTCCAATACTCCCTTTCCGGTAAGTTAACTGCTCAGAGGGCACAGCATGTGTTTCAACTCTGACTCAGCCACTTAGTTCCAACCAATTGGGCTGGTGAAAGATGACAATGCTCCTAATGCTCTGAGAATAGAGGTCATCAGAGTGATCACCGACCTGCATTTCAATGCTTTTGGACAAAACCCTCGATTTTTCAAATACTCTCACATCACTCCAACAGGAAAAGGTTACCGTCCATCCGTGCATGCGAGGTGCAGCTTGAAACGATAGAGGTAGACGAGAAAAAGAGGCAAGAGTGCCAAGGCAGAGCGCTGCAACATGTACAACATCCTTAAATCAATATTTCATTGTGTTTTATCATGTATGTCTCCATCTTTGAATCATTCACTCCGACCGCAGCAGTTTTCAGGCCACCTTGACCGAGCTCCAGAACATTCATAGAAGGAGAAACGCCCGCTCGATCTTTAGGCCGAGCACAAGCGCTAGCGAAGTCAGCTGCCATCTCGACCGAAATGGAACTTCAATTAGTCAGTTGTTAAATCTCCTTCAACAGCTTTCAATCGACGTTTCAGGCTAAGGTCACATCCAGTAATCATTCATAAGGAGCAGAAAACGTCATATCAATCATTTCCGTCCCTCAAAAGCCCCGATGCAACCAACCGCGTGCCTTCGCTTATAGAAGAAATGAAATCGTCTTTGTTATCAGATTCCCTCTTAACTATTAAGCGGCTTTAATGCAAAGTAGGCATTCCCCTAGACACCATACAGAGAGTGCTCAATTGTCGCGCCTTCCAGTATAACCAAGAGTATTTAATTGGATCGACAGTGGGAGGTTAAAGCGGACAGCCGAAATCCAAATAGCATGAATACACTGTTTGCGAAGCAACATTTATTGTTGCTGCGATTCAAACTCATTTGTCGCTGCTGAAAGATTCAGTGGTGGACTCCTACGGTCTTTTTTTGGTCGTCGTGTGCGAGTTTGTGTAGTTTCAACACAAAATGACATCAGGACGAAGAACGAAATGTCCTGATATCTCCCAGACAAAAGGGCTTCCAGAATCATCAAAACGGTGCGAAATTTAAATGATAAGCTAGAGGACTTATTCTTTGGCCTTACAAAGGAATGTCAAGGGATTGATTTAACGACAAGGAAAGTCTCGGACGTGAGCGCGCTCGCAAGTAAAGCTCACACCACGAGCACCTATCCATTGAGCAGCGTGGATTCGCTTTTAGAGGTAAAGCAAATCTGTAAAATCGCTTTTAGTTTTCAGCACGCTACTGTCGGACTTTGATCCACGGAATGGAAGAAAGGAAAACCGTGGCTGGGTACTACTTCTATCGATTTCGCTTCCAATATTTCCTAGGAAGTCTTCTGAGTAAGAGGAAGACATCTTGATCTTTCTTAAAGCGCACTCAACAAGAAAAGATACTCTCATGTGTCAGAGAAACCCCATGCCTGATCGTCTTTATCCTGTGGCTGAGCTATCCCTCTGTGCCAGGGCTTCCATTGACCTACAGTGATTCCTATATCTGTGCTGGAAGGTTTTTTCTTCCGCCGGTAACATTTGCACGTCTGCGATTATAATTTGATTGTTAAATATTTCTGTACTTGACCACATATCCGAAAAGCCAAGTTTGCTGGTTAAGAGTTCTTGGATGAGAAACAGCAAAGAGCTGCGTCAGCACGACGTAAGCGAAGGATCCTAGCACGAACACATTGCTGTACACCGAGGCTGGACGGCAATCAAGTTTACATACTAGCTGCTTATGGTCTCGCGCGGCAGCGGTGCACTGGAACGGATCCGCTCACGGATGTTATCAGCCTTCCTCCCCCGCCTGGGTTCTGGCGGTGGAAAGCGACCCGGACCCTCGGGGCAACGGCCGTAACGGCTCGCTCGACTTGCTATGGGTTATCACTTCCCATCCCCAGCCCTCATTCCAGCCATGCGCGATGCGAAAGAGCGGCACGAACACGCCCACGTGTTTTCAAAGGCAAGTGGAGCGGCGCGTGTGTGCAATGGCTTAGTGGCGTGCGAGTGCATCCGTCGGGAACATGGCCATGGATTTTCAAACCTGAGGAGGAACATCATCGCTAGCCCCTTTCGCGTCGTCACTTCGGGCATCCTCTCTCTTTTGAAGCAGCCTTTCCACTTTGCTCTCTTCAACTTCGCTTACGCTGAAATCACAGGATTCAAATATGGACCCGTACGCAGCGGGAATGCAAGGTGGTGGCTATTACATGCCGCAAGAAGACACAAGCCCTTTAGCTCTGGAAGAGAAGGACGGCTTGCGCATGTCCTGGGGCGTCTGGCCATCCTCTCGGATTGAGGTGACTCGCATTGTGGTACCCGTGGCAGGACTGTAAGTAACATTTGCTTCTTTATGTCAATGCTTGAGACAGTTTTATGGGTGGAGCGCGGAAAAGTACGAAGCATCCGTCCACATCCATCCTTCCCTCCGTCTTCCATAGATACACACCATTACGACGCATCGAGACAATGCCTGCGCCCTTGGAATACGATCCGATCCGTTGCAATGGCTGCGGCGGTGTGCTTAACCCTTATTGGTAAGCCTGGGTGTTTGAGAATGGAAGAAGGAGGGACTTGGAGCGCGAGAGGGCATCAAAGAGTCATGGCGGGCACGTCGTTTCCCCCCCTTCCCAACTTCACGCGCACACACGCACCATCGCACTCACAAACACGACCCTTACAGCTCTGTCGATTTCAGAAGCAAGGTCTGGACGTGCCCATTCTGCATGAACCGGTGGGTAGTGGTTTCGGAGGGATTAGGAGGGAAGGGAGCGACCGAGGTCGGGCAGGAGGATAGTGTCTGACAGGCTAGGATCTGGCATGCTCCACAACAGGAATCACTTTCCCCCCCACTATGCCGAGAACATTTCCGAGCAAAATCTGCCGGTGGAGCTTTTCCAGCAGTACACCACGGTGGAGTATGAACTCCAGGTGCCCGTCGCGGGTGAGGAGGGAGGGAGGGTTCCGAGAGAACGTGGGGGAAGGGAGCAATACGGTGTAGAGGAATGGAGGATAAAGGGAGGCAATGGAGGGAACAAGGCGAAAAAAAGAGATTCCGGACAAAAAACTGAATCTTGAGGGAGGTGGGGGGAGGAGGAGGGAGGAGAAGGAGGACGGCTGAGTCCTTTGAAAGCGGGCCCGGGTACCGATGGGATATTGTGGTGAGAGGCCTCTCCAGGTCATCCGGACTCTTTCCTGCCCATCTCTTTGACCCTCCGTCTTGCAGGACCGCCCGTCTTCCTCCTTGTCGTGGACACGTGCTTGGACGACGCCGAGCTCGAGCACTTGAAGGATTCCTTGCAACAGGTACGTGCCCTCCCTCCCGAAGTTGGCGAGGACATTGGGGACCTCTGCTCGTCCT